GCGTGCTGGGCGCTGTGTGTGCAGCAGGCCTGGGCGCAGTGCCGCAGGGTGACCCTGCCTGCAGGTTGTGTGCTCACTCTTCTCGACGTCCTTGGGGCTGCCTGAGCAGAGCCTTTGAGGAACTGGCTGCTTCCTGCTCTGTTTTATGGCTTCTGACCACATGGCAGTGTCGTCGAACTTCCTCCGGGTGGCATGGATGCCACGCAGGTGTGGCCGCTCTGCAGCAGAAGCACCCGCCACAAAGGCAGATGACTCCGCCCTCCAGTGGTTGCTGCTGCTCATCCCTGTGACTGCCTTTGGCCTGGGGACATGGCAGGTAGGCCTGCGACTAGCAGGGCAGCCCTGCGCCTCGGGTCCTGCTGCCCTCTGCTGAGCTTAAACTGTTTCCGTAGGTCCAGCGCCGGAAATGGAAGCTGAGGCTGATTGCAGAGCTGGAGTCCAGAGTCATGGCTGAGCCCATCCCTCTGCCGGCTGAGTGCGTGCAGCTTTCCCCTGCAGCCTGCTAGCTGCTTGCTGTCCTGTCGAGCCTGTCCTCAGGCAGCCCTTGGGCTCGGGCAGCAGACGGCTCCTGGGACATCATCCTCCATGCTGGGTTTCAGCCTCTCTTCTGAGTGATGCCCCTTAGCTCGTGGGTGAGGGCAGCAGGTCACACAGGGCTCAGGATGAGTGTGCTAGTAGCGAAAAAGCGCTCCACTGGCCCCGCTGCCCTCTCACGTGGAAGCACTGTCATGGAGCGCTGTTGACCTCGAGCAGGGAACACTGCCGGCTTTGCCCTGCTGATGGCACGTATGGCTTGTTTTATGTGATTCATCCAAGAAGCCACGAAATCTTGCGCTCCCATGCGGTGTCAGGGCACGCCCGAGGGCCCACATTCTCCACTCCCTTTGCACTTTGTCCCCAGTGTGTGGTCACTTGCAACCCCCTGAAGGGGATTTCTTGGCCATGGCTCGCTTCTTGTAGCCCCGTGGAGCTGAAGAATCTGGAGTACCGGCCAGTGACGGTTAGGGGGCACTTCGACCACTCCAAGGAGCTGCACATGATGCCCCGGACCATGGTGGACCCGGCCCGGGAAGCCCGGGAGGCCGGCCGTATCTCCTCGTCCACCGAGAGTGGGGCCTTCGTGGTCACCCCCTTCCACTGCACTGACCTGGGGTGAGTAGGTCACACTGGGTGCTGGCTGGCTGGACAGCAGCTGGTCCTTTATTGTCCATCCCAACCCCTGACCTTGGGCTGGAGAGATGGCTCAGTGGTCTAAAGCACCTACTTAGAACAAGCTTGGCAAAGCACAGGGACCGCGGTTCGATCCCCCAGCACCACATGCCAGCCAGCCTCGCCCCCTGGTGGGCTGAGCTGGCCACACACACACACACACACACACACACACACACACACACTAAATGTAAAAAAAAAAAATTTAAAAAAAACCACCCCTGACCTCCCAGCAAGCTTCAGTGCACTCATCCCGGCATTTATTAAGCAAGTTTAGCCATCTCCTAAGTAGGATCTGGATGTGAAACTGCACTAGGGCAATTCCAGGCAGCCGCTGCCCGAATGGCTGTGGTGCAGCGGCAGGGCGGTGTGCAGATGACCACCCCAGGCCCTCCTGGGCCAGGGTGCAGGCAGGAGCCCGAGCCTGTGCTAGCCATGGGGCAGCCAGAAGGGGGCGCACCCAGGGGGAAAGGTGACAGCCACCCGAAGGGCGGGACTCGTTGGTGCAGGTCCTTCTAGAGATGCCACAGACTCTTCGAGCAAACCTCTCCCCATCTGAGGCAGCACTTTCATTCCTCCAGAGTCACCATCCTGGTAAACAGAGGATTTGTTCCCAGAAACAAGGTGAAGCCCGAGGCCCGGCAGAAAGGCCAGGTAATGGAGGGCAGGCTGCTCATGAGGGCTTCTTGTCGCCTGGCCCCCAATAATGCACAGCCTCACACTTCTTTGCAGGTTGAGGGAGAAGTGGACCTAACTGGAGTGGTGAGGTTGACAGAGACCAGGAAGCCCTTTGTTCCTGAGAACAACCCAGAAAGGAACCACTGGCATTACCGGGACTTGGAGGCCATGGCCAGGACCACAGGCGCAGACCCCATTTTCATTGATGCCGACTTCAGTATGTTGTGGCCCACCCACCCGTGGGCCCAGCAGGCCACTGTGGACATAACCCTATTCCCTTGTTTCTTGGCCATTTTCCCACTTACTGCAGTCCCAGAACTCGGGGCGCTGCAGAGAAAGGGGGAGATGTGAGGGTGGTGGGGTCTAGGCAGAAAGCCTCATGGGTCACAGGTGGGAACAGGTGAATGCTGTCTCTGCAGAGAGCACTGTCCCTGGAGGACCCATTGGAGGGCAGACCAGAGTCACCCTACGGAACGAGCACATGCAGTACATCATTACCTGGTCAGTCCCTGGGCTGCTGGGCCGCCTGCTGACCCCCCCCCCCCACAGCTGACAGCCTCACATTGCCTTCTCTGCCCCAGGTATGGGCTGTGTGCAGCCACATCGTACATGTGGCTTAAGAAGTTCCTACGCTGGACACCTGGCATGTGACCGGGCCAACTGCCACACACAGCCTTGCCCTATTTAAATAAAAGCTCCAAGCTCTTGGGGGATCTCCTGTTTGTGTCATTTGTCATGCAAGCATCTGTCTGGGCCTTGACAAATCTGCCACCGCTCCACAAGTTTACACTGGATTAAGGACAATTTATTGTTTTTATGTACAGAAAACTCAAAGTACGCTTAGCCCAGTTTAGTGGCAAGCTCTTTAGCCTTCGCTTTCTCCAGCTTGGCAATACGAGCCACAGATTTTGGACCCAGAACGTTGCCTCCCCAGTGACGGCGGATCTGAAATGACAAAGAGAGCAGCAGTCAAGTGTGGGCTGCCATCTGGGGGCATCCTGGGCAGTGCCTACCCGGGGCTGAGCGCGCACGCCCACCACCGACGGGTACCCCACCAAGTAGCGCTGCTTGTCAGCCCCTTCAGGAGAGCTCGGTTCACCCAGCACACCCCAGCGTGCAACCACCACTTACCTCATCGTATCTGTCATTGTAGTTGGTCCTGATGGCCTCCACCAGCTTAGCCAGAGCGCCCTTGTCCTCCCTAACAAAGCAGGAGTAAAGCGAGATGAACAGCTATCTTAGAGAGCTGGAACAACATCTACTACAGTTTGAAACACAAGCCTTTTTGCCTCAGACAAAGCATGACCACATGGGTTTATTCAGGTGAAGAAATTCTTAACCATCATTGGCAGATGTTCAGATTAAAGTACTCCTTGTATAGACACTGTTCTCAAAAGGCGCGAAGGCTCTAGCGACCTGTGGCACACTTACGAGTTGACTTGTGTGAAGGCGACAGTGGTACAGGTCTTCCTGTGGACCAGACGCCCCAGCCTGGCCTTCCCCTTGATGATGCAGTAAGGGACCCCCATCTTGCGACACAGGGCAGGCAGGAACACGACCAGCTAGAAGAGAGTATTGCTTTAGAGTGTGTTCTGGCCAAAGCCAGTCATCTGAGAACCAGCTCAGTGGCAACTGCTCAGGGTTAAAAAGCTCATGTATTTGCACTTCATGGTGTAATTCAGTGACAGACTCACATCATCGCAAATGCCACTCAAGCCCTGTTACAGTCTCACCTACGAAGCCCCCCAGGCTCCTGTGTTCAGAAAAGGGGCTCTGGAGCATCTGGCAGCAGGGGTGACAGTCCACTGGCGAGGGCCCTGTTCAATATCCTCCTAGGTGGGGCAAGGCTGCAGGAAATGGGTCCTGGGGGCATCTGTGGTCCCCAGGCCCCTCCCCTCTGGCAGCCATGGCCTCAATTCCTGCCATGTTGTTCTGCCAAAGACCTGCCTTAGAGCCTGCTGACCAGAGGCTAAATGAAACTGTGACCCCCAAGGTGAGCCCACTGCACACATAATCTCTATCCCCACAATTTAAAGCTCACCATACATGAGGCTGGGGAGATGGCTCAGTAGAATAAGTGCTTCCCTGGCAAGCGCAAGGGCCTGAGTTCAATCCCCAGTTCCGCAAAAGAAAAAAAAAACCAATAATAACAAAGCTCACCATACAACGCATGACCCAGTCGGCACCGTTTCACATGCAGGCGGCTATCCCGGACTGCACCTACTCTGTGCTCCTGGTTCTGCCCTAAGACTGGTACAGCAGTCACTGCTCAGAAACCCAGACCTACCTCGATGGGGTCCACGTCATGTGCAATCACCACGAGCTGAGCCTTCTTGTTCTCTACCAGAGTGGTGACGGTGTTGACACCTGGAACACAACCACTGTGAGCAAGCGCTCAGGCTGCTCTGATCCTCCAACACAGTTGTCACCAGCTGTGACTCAGGGTTAAAAAGCTCGATTTTTACTGTGACTTCAGGTGAAGTTCAGGTTAATTCAGACATCACTGCACAGCCCAGCCCTCCACATCCCACCCCTGAGGAGGAGCCCCTCACCTGCTCTGAGGACCGGTGGCCTCTTAGTGGGGACATCCCCTTTGCCAGCAGCTTTCTTCTCTGCCCGGGCCAACAGCCTCTGCTTCTTCTCTTGCTTGGTCTCTGGTCTGTACTTGTGGGCGAGCTTAAGCAGCTGGGTAGCTAGGAGAGCATCCTTCAGTTAAGGCTCTGCAGTTTAAATCTGCCACTCAGCACCAGGTCAATGCCAGACCCCTGGGGCACTAGGGACTGAACCCAAGGCCCAGAGCTGTGCTCCCAGCGTTGTTAAACAAAGAGCCGGCCAGGCACCGCCCTGTCAGCTAGGACTGTGCCATGGGAAACAGCGAGGCCAACTGCACTCCAGAGCCCACCTGTTTGGCGGTCCAAGGCCTGGGTGAACTGGTTAATCGCAGGGGGCACCTTCAGCCGTTTGTACAGGATGGCCCTCTGTCGCTGCAGCCGGATGTAGCGGGGCCATTTGACAAAGCGGGTGAGGTCTCTCTTGGGCTGGATGTCCTGTCCTGAGGAGTTCAAGAGTGCGAATGAGGCTCCAACCCTGGGTGCCGGGCACAGCGGGGCTACCACGGCGGGTGCAGGTGCATCAGCGATCTTGGTGGTTTGAATGTCATCACCATCCTTCGGATAGCAAATATTCTCTCACATCATCTGCACGCAAGCACCGGGAGGGGCAGCCCACCGCACCCTGAGGCCACCCGGGGGCGGCGCAGGCACCCATGGGCTGCACGCCGGGCCACGCCCCCAACACCGACACATCTCTCACATCTGTGAACGAGGCGGTCCTCCTGCCCCAGCCTCCCGAGCGCGCGCCGCCGCGCCCTGCTCAATGACATGCGGCAACGCCACCAAGAGGCACGTTCCTAAAAGCCATTCCGACGGCCCATTCCTTACCAATGCCAAAATTCTTTGGCCTCTTCTCGAACAGGGGATTTACCACCTTCTTGGCCTCCTGCTTCTTCACGACAGCAGGGGCCGGGGCCACCTTCTTGCCCTTGGCCTTCTTCCCTTTCGGCTGGGCAGAAACAAAAACCCCATGAGGCCGCCCGCTCCTGGCCGCCCGCTCCCGCCCGCCTCCGCAAGGCGGTCTCGCACACGGTCCGCAGGGACCGCGAAGCCGGACAGCCGACCCGGAACGCGGGCGGAGAGCTCCGCGGCGCGGCGCAGCACCCGAGGCCCCAAGCTACCTCCTCCGAGCCCGCGGCACAGACGGCGGCCCAGCCGCTCCCTGTCGCCGGATGGCCGCCTCATTGTCTCCCCATCTTGCCCAGGAGAGCTCTTTCAACCTTAGGCTGAAGCGGGGTCCCGCGCGGCCGCGGCCAGAGGCGGATGGCGGCGGATAGATCCCAGAGAAAGACCCGAGGCCACAGAACCCACACTCACCATCTCGGCCGGCTGACAGAAAGAGACTGTGAAAGGAATTGTGGGTAATATGTAAGCGGCGGCGACTATCGCGAGAGCTGGCGTCTACGCGGGACTTCGGATTTAAAGTAATAGGTCTCCTTAAATTGTTCCGTCGGGGGCGGTCCCTAGAGCGGCTTTTCTGCCAGCCAGAAGGTGGGCCGGGCCTCAGACGCCGCAGTTTGGCGCTCAGGCTAGAGCCATCGTTCGTAAGTGCAATTTGGGTGATCCTAAGCGCCCGGGTGAGCTAGCTTAGCTTCCCTGTGAGGACGCAGGCCCAAGCCCGGAGTGGCGGGACCTGGGAGGGAAAAGGCCGCAGGAGACCCGGGGATGCAGGGTGGGTCGAAGGGACTAGGATCGCGGCCAGGCGGGGCGTTAGGGCTGACACGCACCGTCCCCGACGGCGTGATCTGCGCCTGCGCGGCGTCCCAGGCTGGTGGAGTGACCCGAGGCAGGAGGGCGTGCAGCGTGCCCACCCGCCGGATTGGGCGGTGCGGTGGTCCTGTCGGGTGCTGGGTGCGCTTCCCCAAGGCGACAGCCCTTGCCTCGCAGTGCCTGCTGAGGAATGGGCACATCCGCCTTTGAACGGTGGGGGCACTTTGTGCGGCAGGAGGGGCTCCCCGAGTTCTGCGTGTTCTGCTCAGGTGGTGGAGGGTGTCTGAGCCTGCCTCGCCCCCACGAAGCTCTGTCCTGCACGGTGCCAGACTCCCGGGCCTCCCCCTGCGCCGGCCGAGCGTGCCATGGCCCAGCAGAGAGCCCTGCCCCAGAGCAAGGAGACGCTGCTGCAGTCCTACAACAAGCGGCTGAAGGACGACATCAAGTCCATCATGGACAACTTCACGGAGATCATCAAGACGGCCAAGGTGCGTGAGCGCTGCTCTGGCCCTCGGAGACCTCATGGGGCAGCCTGGACAGGCACAGCAGAGCACGGCGTGCCCGCACCCCCGTGGTCCCCCCGGCAGCCGGGAAAGGGACAGCTGCGTGTGGGCAGGCAGGAGTGGCCGGGCTTGTCGCGGTCTGGTCCACAGAGCCGCAGAGGAGCCAAATAGCCTTCGCAGCTCCAAGCTCAGCATGACCGGCCACGTGGAGCTGATGGGGACTTTGCCCCTTGGTGCCTCCCTTTTCCCAGCCTTTCTCCAGCCTCATGATGAGTCCTGCGGAGCACTTACTGCAGGGCCTGGAACAGAATGAGTGACCCCGTCCTGGTTGCCGCTGCGATTGAGCAAACAGGCGAGAGAGGGAGGCCCGAAGCGGGGCAGGCCCCCTCTGGGCAGGCAAGCGGTGCCTTGTCGGGTCAGGCTAACCAAGCTGCTGCACCAAAGGGGGCCGATTGTTCTGACTGCTGCCCACAGGCCAGTAATGGCAGTAACCAGAGCTGGCAGTGATTTAGGGGCAGGCCAACACGCGAGGGCTGTTTGTGGTGCTCTGCTGCTCGTTGTCCTCTCCACAGTCTGGGAAAAGCCCAGAAGACGCCGTAATTTTTTTTTTTTTTAAGTTAAGTTTGTTGGTACCATTTAGATATATGCAACGACCGTGCCGTGTTCATTACAGGGAACTTGTATCACACTCATTAAAGGAATGTGATATACCTTGGTTCTTCTCCTTTAACTCGAAAGTGACCCGAGGGGGCCAGGGAGATAGCTCAGTAGAATAAGGTCCTGAGTGCAATCCCCGGTACCACAAAAAAAAAGTTACCCACGGTCACTCAGCTAACTGACAGAGTTGGATCCGAGCTCAGGGACCCTGGCTGTTAGTCACTGAGCCCACATCCTCTCCATTCCCTCCTCAGGTGCTGCTGGAAGCCCTGTCCAGGACACCTCCTGGGACCTTTGAGGCAGATGTGCTGGGTTGGTCACCTGGCTCCCCTGTTTTTGTTTCCTTTTGAGACAGTCTCACTGTGTAGTCCAGTCTGTCCTTGAACTCCAGCGATCCTTTTGTCTCAGCTTCCCAGGTGCTAAGATTACGAGCACACATCCCCGTGCCTGCCTCCTGTTACTGAGCCGCCGTGAGCCTTGAGCGGCCCTCTGTGAACCTGGCACGGCAGGCCAGGCTCGGGTGTCAGCAGGCTGCTAGAGCAGAGGCCAGCATGCTGGCAGCGACCAGGAAATGCTCCTCAACAAAAGGCGTCGCTGCCAGCGTGTTGGGGCACACACCTGTAATCCCCACACCTGCCAGGCTGAGGCAGGAGGCTTGCTGTTAGTTTGAGAACCTCCTGGGCTATATAGTGAGCTCAAGGCCAGCCTGAGCTGTATAGCAAGACCCTGTCTCAAGAATGAAAAAGCAAAATCAAGTGCTTTTTTTTTTTTTTACCCTTGTCACACAGCTGTTTATCCAGTGCCTGAGCCAGCACACTGGTCCCAGCCAACCATGGCCCTGCTCCTTAAGACCCTGTCCCTGTGCATAGCACAGCCATCAGAATAGGCAGCTGTGCCTGCCTTTGGGTGGCCGGCTGGCTCCTGTGTGCCAGGCTAGGCCAGCTGTGGGGACCCTGGGCCTGGTCAGCTTGGCTGATCCATGGCTTCTCTGCTTGCCCTCAGATCGAGGAGGAGACGCAGGTGTCACGGGCCACTCAGGGTGAACAGGACAATTACGAGATGCACGTGCGAGCTGCCAACATCGTGAGTTGCCCGGGCACAGGGCATGGCCAGGGCCCCAGGAGGGCCCCGCAGCAGTTAGGGTCTCAGCATGCACACCCAGGGCTGCTTTAGTTTCCCTCCTTGTAGTTTCCTAGAATGGGGCGGGGCAGATGTGTTCTCAGGAGACTGTCCCCAAGAAGGGTACCCGTCAGCCCAGCCCAGCCCAGCACTGTGCCGAGGACAGAGGCAGTGGCCTTCCTGCTGATCTGAGGTTTCTGAGTCTTTGTGAGTGAAGAGGTTTGCACTGTGATCCTGATGTCAGAGGAAGGAGCCAGCAAGCCGGGCTCCCCGCAGCTGTGTGCCCACAGATGGAATGCTCTGGAGGGGCCCCGGGAACCTGCTCAGCTGCCACGTGGAGGAGAGCAGGACGGGAGACGGGAGAGGCTGTGTGCTTCCCCAGAGCTTGAGCAATGTGCAGGGGTGTGTGCACAGCCTGTCTAATAGGACAGCAGGCCCGTAGGTGAGGAAAGCAGTGGCGGGGGACTGGGGCAGACCAGCCCGTCGAGGCAGGTGCTGGTCCTGGCTCCCCAGCTCAGGTTCTGTTGTTCTCACCTCATCCTCTCACACATCCCCTGCCGGCTCAAGTCTGCAGCCCCCTTTGCAGAAGAGGAAGCTGAGGTGCCCAGCAAGGCCACAGCTGTGCCCTCACCCTGTGCTGCCCTGGTTCTGGTGGCTGCAGGTCCGAGCAGGCGAGTCCCTGATGAAGCTGGTTTCCGACCTCAAGCAATTCCTGATCCTCAACGACTTCCCGTCCGTGAACGAGGCCATCGACCAGCGCAACCAACAGCTGCGCGCTCTGCAGGAGGAGTGTGACCGCAAGCTTATCACGCTGCGGGATGAGGTCTCCATCGATCTGTACGAGCTGGAGGAGGAATATTACTCGTCCAGGTACAAATAGGGCGGAGCCCGCAGTCAGGCAGCCCAGCCTAGGAGGGCCTGGTGTTCCCAAGTAGTGCATTTGATGGACAGACCACCCACAGCTGCCCGTGGGGTCGGGCCTTCCCCTCAGTGCTAAGCGATGGAAAGCCCGGGACATCTGTGTCAGGGAGGCCGAGTCTGGAGAAGGGCGTGCGTCCTCTGGCCAAGCAGAGCCCTCTTCTGGGCCTTGCTGCGTGTGCCTGGCTCTCGAGTCCAGACAGAGACACTCTAGCCAAGGCTAAATGCCAGGCCCACACCCATGTCCAGGACACTGCTGCTTACCCGGATGCAGCTCCATGTGGATGTCACCGAGCCCCACAATTCAGGGACAGGGCAGCCCCTGAAGGGAGGAGGGAGGCCAAGCAGAGAATGGCCTGGACCCCAGCCTGGCACGCTTGGGTGTCTGATTTCTGGCCACTGCACCTTACAGAGCTGCAGCCTCCCGCATGCTGGCCCCAAAGGGACAGCGGTGGGCAGGACCTGTCACCGTAGCCCTGTGAGGCCACTCTGAGTCCTGAGACCTGACACCCCCTGGGCTTTCGGGGCCCTGGAAGTCAGGCTCCAAAGTAAGACTTCCACGGGTGAAAGTGAGGCAGAGGCCTTGTCCTCTGTCCCCTCGACGGGGTGCAGCTTGGGCCCAGCAGTTGTAAAGCTCCGGCCACCTTGTGCCTTACAGACAAACCTCCTCCCTTCTGGCCTCTGTCCAGAGCTCGCAGGCTCTGAGGCTTGACCTCGGGTTCCCTGCCCGCTTGGAGTGGCTCTAGAGTTCTCCGGGAGTTCTGGGGCTGGCTTTGCTCCCTGATGCTCCGCAGGGAGGCAGACCTGGTCCTGGGGGGGCGCAGGCCCTCCCTCCTGGAGCAAAGCTCTTCATGTCTGCGTTACTGTCTGCAGCATCTGCTGGCCCTGGGCCCCGATGGAGTAGCCTTGGGGCAGTCACTCGGTCTCGGGGCTGCTGGCCAGCGGAAGTGGGGCTGGCCTGAGGGCGCGCTGCAGAGCTGGGGTGGGAACCCTGGGGACCACGAGTGCCAGGCTCCTGAGGTCCCCGGTCTCCCCTGGACCAGCCTGTGCCGACACCCCCACGCGCAGGTGTCCTGTCCACTCCGGCCAGTCCCTGCATCCCTCAGCCCTGGGGTGAAGCAGCTGTCTGCCTCTCCAGCACGGCCCCCCTCAAGTGCCTGGGCTCCGCGTGCCCCTCCTGCGTGTGTGCCGGCATCTGCCTTCTTTGCCCTCCTGCCGCTCACTGTCTCTAGCTCTGCCTCTGCCCTGCTCTTCTGTGGGTGCCACTCTGTGTCTTGAGCAGTTCTGAGGGAGGCCACTGAGTACGCATTAGCTGTGGGCCGTCCCTGCTCCCAGAAGCCACCGCCATGAGCGGCAGCCCGGCTCCTCACCTGCACCTGGGTGCAGAGCCCTGGGAGTCACGGGGCTGGAGCGTGGTGCAGGGACACGCGGGGCCGTGTTCCCATCACGCCCGTAAGCCAGGAGCTAAAGCCGTCAGGCTGCTTCCAAAGTCTGAGCACCACGCCAGCCACTGAAGATGGGGACCGCGCAGGGGCTAGCAGAGACCGGAGTGGAAGTAGACCACACAGCCGAAGCTCAGCGCGGGGGTCCTGCTGAGATCCCATTGCCTGTTGGAGGCTTTGCAGCTGCCGTGACCCCCTCCCCCGCCAGACCTGCAGGTGGAGGAAGTGAGGGCAGCTTGGGGTGGCGGCCGCGTTTCCTTAACTCTGCTTCTGTCTTGCTTCTCCCTCCCTGGCTTTCCTCCCTGCCTGCTCCTGTCTCCCTGGGGTTTCTGGTGGTGGAAAAGCTCCAGTCTTTGCGAAGCTAATGACTTGCCTCTGTGTGAAGCTTATTGGAGGCTGGACCCGGACACAGACTCCGCTGATTGTCTCTCGGCCCCTCTCCTGGCGTCCCCAGAGCCTGGTACGGGCTCCCTGCAGGTCGCAGCCTCTGCCCACTCCCATACTGGTGGCTCTGGCCCCGCAGAACACACCTGAGCTGCCGGGATGCCTTCCCTGTGTGCCTGATTTATCAGGAACAGAGTCCAGCCCTCCCCTGGGTGCCCGCCACACCTCAGAGACCCCAGGGCCCAGATCCACTGTGACCTCCTTAGTTGGGAAACTGGTCAGGCTGGGATCTGCCTCCCAGGACCGCTGGGAGAGGTGTTCAGCCTTTCCAGGAAGGCCCAGTGTCCCCTCCAGCTGCTACCTTTGGCCAGATGGGAGGAGTCAAGAGCCTTGACTGGGCAAGGGGGTGACTGACGGCAGAAGGCGACTCCCGAGGTTTAAAACTGGGAGCCCCCCAGTGGGTGGCATGGGCTACAGGGCCTCTGCAGGCCCTCCCGGTACCTTTTGCTGTGTCTTGCTGCCATGTTTATTCTGCTACTTTTGTATCAAGATTGAATAAAAACAATGCCACTCTTCACAGTTCCTTGTCCTTGCCACTGCTCAGCCCGCGTTCACCCTTGGGTGCCCTGCCACGTCTGAGCATCAGCTCTTCACCTGGGATCCAGACCAGGCCCCTCCCACCGGCACCCAACGAGTCCTCCATGTTGGGTGGCCCTGGGGGACCTCTGCCGAGGATGTCCTCATTCTCATTGTTATCTGTGATGTGTTAAGCCCGCGTTTCACAGGAAAGTAGATAGGGGTTCGGAACAGGAAGTGCCCTGCCACGGCCAGGAAGTGAGGTGGCAGAAACATGTTTTGAACCCTGGAGGAACTGACCTAGGATGGCACCAGAAACCACGGAGCATGGGGCGAGGAGGCCTGGTGGACCAAGAGATGAGGGTCTGGCCGACTCCACCCACATACCATCTCCCTTCCTAGAGTGGAGAGGGGGTCACTGTCTGCGATGTTGCCCGCCGGGCTCCAGAAGGCAGCAGGCAGGAAGAACTTGGGGCCTGGCCCTGGTGTCTCCAACACACGGAGGGGGAGCATTCTCCACAGATAAGTTATACTGTTCTAGTTGTGGGCCTGACCAAGCCATGCAGTCTTGCAAGCAGGTGTGACCACATTGCTTTCAAAAACAATTGAGTAGCCGGTTAGATGGCTCAGTGGAATAAGTGCTTCCCTGGCAAGCACAAGGGCCTGAGTTCAATCTGCAGTTCCGAGAAAAAAAAAAAGTAAAAACAATTGAGTAATAACATCTTTATACCACAGTTTTTCCTTTTTCATTATTAAGTTTTTGTATTTTAGGGCAGGGTCTACTGGGTGTTCAGGGTCTCACTGCTAGATCAGACTGGTAGTAATCCGCCTTGGGGCTGGGCAGATGGCTCAGTAGAGTAAGTAGTTTGCCTGGCAAGCTCAAGGGCCTGAGTCAAAAACAACAAAAAACCCAACCAGGCAGTGATCCGCCTGTTTTCATCCTCCCAAGAGCTGGGATTACAGGCGGACACCAACACGCCCAGTCTCAACTGCCATCTCAGCATGCCCTGGGGGTGGAGCCGCCCGGCAGGCCCAGGCCCAGGGACGGAGTGCCCCCTGTGCCTGCTCGCAGGCACTTAACTCCACCGAGCTATCTGGCCGGTCCTTATACCACAGTTTTTCTATCCTTAGCTTGGCCAATACCACGCAACAGTGAAGTTACCCCCGGCAGCGGCCCTGGGCTCCTCTGAGCGGAGCCAGTGCTCTGGCAAGACCTGAGACTCGTAGCGTGTCCCAGATAGGGCTTGCCTCAGGGGGCCTTGCCCCTGTGAAGGCACGTGTATTACATCCCCAGTACTGAACTCTGGCCAGCCCCATCTGTCTCACCTCTTTGATCCCAAGCATTTCATTTTGAGGCTGCTAGAACCCAGGGAAAGGTTCTAGCATCTAATCTGCGTTCAGCACCCCACCCCACCCCCGCAGCGGGCCGAGACACCAGCGGGGTAGTGCGCAAGCCAGTGACAGCCGTCTCCACCTTCAGATGGCCTGAGCGCCCCCAGCAAGATGAGTCTGCACTTTGACGGAGAAAACAGGGCTTTGGACAGCTGCAGAAGTCTAAGTAGTGTGGACAGGGCCAGGGAGATAGTTCAGCAGCATAGGACCTGCCTGGCACGCACAAGCTCCCGAGTTTGATTCCTAGTACCAAAAAACTAAGATTAGGTAGTGTAGATAGCCACTTAGGCCCTTGGGGGAGTTCAGATCTCTGCTCTTTCTTGTATATAAAAATCATTTGAACTTCATCTGGAAACGACTCAGCAAATCAACTCTCACGGCCCGAGACCATCATTACTACCAAATGGGTGGTTGTGTCCCCGGTTTCCCTGCCACACGGATTTTTGATTTTTTTTTCTTTTAGCGGAACCAGGGATTGAACTCAGCCTCTTGAGCTTGCCAGAAAAGCATTTCTTCTACTGAGCCATCTCCCCGGCCCTCCTGCCACGCTGATTTTCGTGTCTTCTTTTTTGAGCGTCAGGGACTGAACTCAGGACCTTGTGCTCCCAAGCAGGCGCTTTGGCGGCCCCCTTGCATCTTTTTAGAGCTGCTTCTGTCTCGCGCCTCGTGTCGTTGCTGAGTCTTCCCAAATCGGGCAGGAGTCCGGCGCGGCAGCGCACGCCTGTAACCGTCGCACTCGGGAAGCTGGGGCAGGAGGACTGCCGCAAGTTCGAGGCCAGCCCGAGCTGTATGGCTTCAGGGGCTGCCTCAACTACAGCAAGACCCTGTCTAAAAAAAAAAAAAGGGTTGGGCCTCGCCGCAGAAGGGGTGGCAGAACAGGTGCCCCGCGCAGAAGTTACGTCCTCCTCGCCCCACGCGCATCTCTTGGGCAGGGCGCAGGGATTCGCGGAGCCCACACCGCCACCGCGCACCACGCTCCGGCGCCGGCCGCGCCCACAATGCCCCGCGCCGGCCGCGCCCACAATGCCCCGCGCCGGCCGCGCTGGCGAATCAGCGCTCGCCTGCTGAGCCTGCGGACTCGGCGGTTTCCGGCGTGTCGCGCGGTCTCGGGCCGAGCGCGGGCCGGAGCCGAGCGCCGGGCGTCGCAGCCATGGCCTCCCTGCTCGCCAAGGACACCTACCTGCAGGACCTGGCCAGAAAGATCTGCGTTCAGCCCGGCCCCGAGCGACCGAGGCGCGAGCGCGGTAACGCGGGGCGGGCGGGCCGGGGCCGAGCCGCGGACGCTTGTCCCCACCTTCAGGTGGCCCGAGCGCCCCGCGCGGGGCGGGAGCGTGGACGGCGCGCGGCTTGAGGAGGGGCGGGGCGGAGCGGGCCGGGATGAGGCCGGTCAGGCGGAGGAGCCCGGCCCGAGGCCCGCGGGAAGGAGCGGTGTCGGGCCCCTGGGCCGGGGTCTCCCCGCGGGCGGACGCGGGCGCTGGCCTCCACGTGGCGTGCAGGTCCCCAGGAGGAGGGCCGCAGGGTGGCGGGCAAGTGGGAAGGACGAGACAGGGTTTCAGTTTGGTGAAAGGAAACGGCTGCTGGCGGGCGATATTGAAATGTGAGGATTTCTCGCCCCCGGCGGTAACCGGTGTCGGTTCTGGCGTGTGGTCCCTGCGCCGCTAGCAGCGTAGGTTCTAGCTCTGGACGCGGCGCTGCCGGCTCCTGTGCCTGCTGTTCCCGGTGCGTGCTCGGGAACTGAAGACCTTCCTGCCTGCTGCGTGACGCGAGAGTCCGCACTCACGGCTCTTTGATCATGTTTTATTTCAGCCGGCAAAATTCAAGGCCCAGAAGCTGCTGGACCACCAAAGAAGAAAAGAAAGAAGACACAGAAGAAGTTCAGAGAGCGGGAACAGAAATCTGCAGAGCACAAGGCCAAGACCGTGGCTTCTGGGGCCAAAAAGCCAGTTGCAGTCAGGGAGGAGAAGGAGGAGGAGGTTTCCAGGCCCTCTGGGGCCCCTGCAGGTGAGGCTATGGGGCACCTGGGGCAGGGCAGGTAGGGCTTGAATGAAAGCGTGGCTCCATCTGTGGTTAAGAAGAGGCTCTGTAGCACACCTGGGGTAACTCAAGACTATAGCAGCGAAGATTAGTGGTGGTCTGAGGTGTGTGGGGTGCAGGGCCTCATGGTGACCAAGGTGTTAAGGGGCAAGGCCATCCCTCTGAGGCTGGAGCAGCTCATGTGGCAGAAAACGTTTTGTATGCTTCAGAGACTTAATTTGGGAACCATCTGCTTGTCCTAGAGGCGGTTGTGGGGACCCACCCTGGTGGAATAGGTACAAGGTGTACCAATTGCCCTGCAGTTCCACAAGTGGCCACGGCGTGGGCTGGGAAGCAGAGGCTGAGGCCTCGGTGCTGGGCGCTGGGCTCTGGGCAGGGCCGAGGGCTAATTCTAGCTCTACCTCTGTCTCTACAGATGGCCGTGCCACAGAATCTGTCTCTGTCTTTGCCTTGGATGTCCTTCGACAGCGACTGCACGAGAAGATCCAGCAGGCCCAGGGCCAGGTGGGTGAGACCCTTGCAGAATGGTTCCTTGACCTGGCCTCCCCAGTATCTGCTCAGCAGGGGCGTAGGCAGGTCCTAGGGGGAAGCTTGGCCTTCCTCCTCAGGAGACCATCATCACTGAGACCAGCATGGCTTGGCACAGCCTGGTCAGTGCCCGAGATGAAGGCAACCTGTTCATACCCAGGCCCCTCTCGAGGTAGTCGGGGTGGCTGTGGGCTGGGAGAGGCAGCAGGAGAGGACTTGGTTGTGTCAGGAGAGAATATGCGGAAGGCAGGGCAGGGGCGCAGACTCCACCTGGGTTCTGAGCCACTGGAGAAAGGGCAACAGTGCTTAGATGGTCAGCAGCATCTTGGCTCACGGGAAGGGCTGCGGACAGAGGCGTGGGTCTTGTGTGGGGTTACTGGCACAATAAGGAGGCCCTCGCTGTCCTGCATCAGGCATGCCTTCCAGCCCCGGTTCCATCCCAGCCGTGTGCCACCCGGTCCCTGAGCTAGGGAGGCCTCTTCTAAGTGAACTGTTCCCCTAGGGCAGCACCAAGGAGCTGTCTGCAGCCACACTGGAGAAGCGGCGCCGTAGGAAGCAGGAACGAGAACGCAAGAAGAGGAAACGGAAGGAGCTGCTTGCCAAGAAAAAGGCAGCGCAAGCTCAGGAGGCAGAAGAGAAGGAAGCAGTGACGGAGGCGGCCCCTGGCACGGCCCGTGCAGAGCCTGTGGAGCCCGCGCTGATCTTCAACAAGGTGAGCGGGAGGAGGGCCGGCCTCACCACGCGCTGTTGCGCCAATGAGCAGCTGTAGCCGTGCAGATGGGGCACAGGCACAGTCCTGGCCTGAGGGGCCGGCCTCACCACGCGCTGCTGCCCCGATGAGCAGCAGCAGCCGTGCAGGTGGGGCGCAGGCACAGTCCTGGCCTGGGCTGCTCAAGGGCTGTCTGTCCCCAGGTTGAGGTGAGCGAGGAGGAGCCAGCCAGCAGGGCCCAGCGCAGGAAGGAGAAGCGGCAGCAGGTGAAGGGGAACCTGACGCCGCTGACGGGCAGGAATTACCGGCAGCTGCTGGAGCGCCTGCAGGCGCGGCACAGCCGGCTGGCAGAGCTGCAGGAGCAGGATGCGGGCAAGGCCCAGGAGCTGGAGGCCAAGATGAAGTGGACCAACCTGCTGTACAAGGCAGAGGGTGTGCGCATTCGCGACAATGAGCGCCTGCTGGAGGATGCACTGAAGCGCAAGGAGAAGCGGCGGGTGCAGCGCCAGCGCCGGTGGGAGAAGCGCTCGGCGCAGGTGGTGGAGAAGATGCAGCAGCGGCAGGACAAGCGGCGCCAGAACCTGCGCAAGAAGAAGACGGCACGGGCCGAGCGGCGCCTGCAGAAGGCCCGCAGGAAGGGCCGGGTGCTACCGCAGGACCTGGAGCGGGCAGGCCTCTCCTGAGCCCCACCATGACCTTCACCCGGGCCTTCCAGCACCTTCCTGCCTGTGGCTGTTGTCTCCACCCAGGTGCCGTGACACTGGAGCATCCCCGAGTTCCCAGTATCGCACAGTCCTATGGTCAGCTACTTCAAAGCTGGGATTGTGTGTCCACGAGAATGGCCACATCCACAGACCCCAGGAGGCACGGCCTGTTCTGCCAGCCGCCTCTTGAGGTGGGAGCACCTCTTGAAGTGTGCGGGGCAAGGAGGAGGGGCCTGGGCAGGGGCAGGGGTGTGGCCACCTGCTGGGAGTAGAAGGCAGCGCCTCAATCCGCTGTGTGATTGTGAACCTTAGAAGGCTGGGCCGCAGCAGGGGAGCCGCTGGCTGCAAAGGAGCTGTAGGGACTGGATGTGGTTCTGAGCCTGAGTACCAAGGCCTTTGCTCAGTCCTGGCTTCTGCCAGTGTCCCCCACAGCATCCCCACCACTCAGAACCCAGAGGGTGGGGGTGTCTTCCCAGATCCAGGCCACATGGACACATCTCGGCAGTCACTGGCTTGGGGGTGGGAGCACTGCGGTTGGCACCTCCTGGAGGTGGGCCTGCTGGTACAACAGGCACGTGTGGGAGGCAGTGTTTAGGAGACCTGGGCGTTTCTCTCTGGAGGCAGAAAGTGCACCCAGCTGAGCCAGCCTGCAGTGCGCAGCAGTTTGCTGGGCTTGAGCTCTGGAGTGGCTGGCTGTGCTCTCTGGAGCCCCAGCGAGAGCCTAGGACAGCGCTGCACCCAGCAGCCAGGGAAGTCCTGGGACTGGGGTGCATGGCAGCCGAGCAGGACAGGAAGGGTACGGCGCTGGGCTGGAGCCCTTTGTCCCCTCCCAGGTGCTTGGCTGTGGCTTGGCAGCTCTACATGGTGGTGTGAGCTGTCCTCTTCCGCCCCTGTCCTTCAAGTTGAGACCCCAGTAAACGGTTTGCACTTTTTGCTCTGTCTTGGAGTGTGTTTCCTGGAGGGTGAAAGTGACACGCAGCTCCCGAGCAGGATGTACACACTCCCCTGCACACGTCTGCAGCTGTCCGAGAAGCAGCCTTCTGAGGCAGCCGCCGTGGATGCCTGAGGCATGGAAGCACAAGCGCGGGGTTTGTGCCCTGTAAGGGTCAGTGAGAGTCGCCCGGACCCCCCACCCCCACCCCCCAGCTGGAGGAGACACACTGAGGGAAGGAGAAGCAGTAAGAAAGGGCCGAGGTGGGCTGGCGAGATGGCTCAGTGGTCTAGAGCACCTACTTGGAGCAAGCTTGGGAAAGCACAGGGACCGCAGTTCGATCCCCCAGCACCACATGCCAGCCAGCCCCGCCCTCTGGTGGGCTGAGCTGGCCACACACACACACACAAATAAATAAATAAATGTTTAAAAAAAAAAAAGGGCCGAGGTGCTGTGAGCCTAAGTGACCGTCAGGGCTAGAGTCCCCGGGTAGCTGGAGTGCATAGGTGGCTCTGTGTTGGAAATGTGCATTTCCTTGGCCGTGTCAGCCACACTTGAAGAGTGATAATCCCGCGACACCAGTAAGCAGATACAGGACAGCTACATGTTGCCAAAGGTGCATCAGTGCTGATCCAAAGCCAGCAACATGTCACAGCATTAAGAGGCAAGGTAAGGGGCCGGTGAGCTGGCTCCGCAGACTAGAGCGCCTGCTTAGGGAGTGCAGGGTTGTGGTTCTGTCCCAGTACTACCTTCCCTGCCAGCCCTGTCCCCAGAGCAGGCTGAGCCTGCCGGAGTCTGGACAGCATGCTGTCGCATGCCTGTAATCCCAGCTCTTGGGAGACTGAAAACAGGCGGATCATGAGTCCGATCTAGTAATGAGACCCTGAACACCCTGCAGACCCTTTCCTAAAATACAAAAATAATAAAATTAAGAGGCTCAGGAGATGGCTCAGGGTAAGTGCTTGCCTGGCAAGCACAAGGGCCCGAGTTCAATCCCCAGTTCCACCAAAAAAAGTAAAAAACTCTGACTAGGGTTCCACATTTGCAGCCATTTTCCAAGGTCTGTGTTAAAGGCTGCCCAAAGAATTGTGTCACCGTGGCTTCCGCCAAATCTGCCCTGCCTTTGTGGTCAAGGTCTTCTCATTTTCCATAGGTGGCTGTAGGTGACTCAGGTGAATGGGGTCGGGAAATGTAGCCAAGCAGGAACAAAGAGGCGCCATTGGAGCCAGGGTCTGTGTGCAGCAGGTGAGGCAACCAGCCTCGGGGCCAGGGCGCCAGCAGCTTCTATGGTCCAGTTTCCCGAGAGGCTTTCTTGCTGAAGGGGAGCTCTAGTACCCAGCCAGCAGCATGCCTTGGCGAGGCTAGAGGGCCAGCTGATGTGGTTGGGCCTCAGCTGTCTGCTCCTGACAGCTTCTCCTGGGAAGGGGAACGTAACAAGGATCTGTGACATTTAGAAAAGGGGAAGGGGAAAAATCTGTCTCGGTTCACCTTGAGCGTCCTTGTTGCTTCAGTAGGTGATTTGCATAGGAATAGCAAGCTCTGTCCATGATGAGGTCACAGAAAATCAGCTTCATGTGCCTGCAAGGAAGGGCATCAAGGTGACGGACCAAAAGTATATTAGGGGCTGGGGAGGCAGCTCAGAGGCGTGAGCACCTAACTGGCAAGCACAGGGTTCTGACTCTTATCCCTGGCCCTGCATGCCATGCCAGCCCGGAACCCCGGATGTGGTGGTGCACACCTCACCTGTAACCCTGAACTCCGGAGGTTGAGACAAAAGACCACTGTGAATTTGAGGCCAGCCTGGTGGCTGCAAAAGAGCACAAGGGCAGCCCAAACTGCATAGTGAAGCCCTGTCTCAAAAAAGGCCAAAGTAAAATAGTCCCCTGAATCCCCCAAGTAGGCAGTGCCAGAGCTCACCAAGGGTGACACGCAGCCTCTCAGGCCATGTGTCCAGTGTCTCAGCCCAGTGAGGCAGCCAAGCCCACAACCACACCAAAGACCCTCCGCATGGTCAAGTGTTTTTTTGGCGGAACCAGGGATTGAACTCGGGCCCTTGCACTTGCCAGGGAAGCACTTACTCAACTGAGCCATCTCCCCGGCCCCTTCAAGTTCTTTAATAAAATTGGAAGGGAAGATTTCATTCTTGAAAGTGTGCGTTTTCTTGATTCCAAAACCAGACAAGGATCCAACCAAAAAAGGACACCCGGCCAACCCATAAAGTGCACACCCGAGAGTCCTTATTAAGACCCTGGTGAGTGTGGTGGCAGTGGCGCCTCAGGCCTGGAACCCACGCTCTGCGGGCTGAGGGAGGACTGCCATGATTCTAGGCCCGCCTGGGCGTCGCCGCGAGTTCAAGACCAGAGTGAGCGACCCGGGAGACCCTGCCCTGCCAGCGGACTGGCAAGTAGAGACCGACAGGTCATCAAAAAGATGACGCATCGTGACCAAACAGGCCGCCTCCGAGATGCGAGGGTGGCTCAGCGCCTCCAAGTCAGTAGGTGTAAGCGCCGCAGATGCAGGAACGAGGACAGAAAGGTCACGTCATCTCACCAGATGCAGCCTTTGGCAAAATCCAGCGTCTACTCATGGGAATAAAGCCTGAAGAAACTAGGTGCAGAAGGATCTTGCCTCAATCCAATGAAAGGTGGTTGCGACAAAGCTGCCCACAAGCTTTCTTGGGGAAACCAGAAAGCTTTCCCTTCGGAATCAGGAACAAGATGAGGATGCTCGCTTATCTCAGGTACTTTTTCCTCATGGCTGGGACTAAATACCTGACACCCAAATTAAGGAAGGAAAGGCTTATTTAGCTCAGTTAGTGGAGGTTAGTCCATACTCGGCTGGCTCCTAGGCAGAGGGGCACTTGGCAGAGGGCAGCAGCTCATGGCAGCAGAAAACAGCGAAGAGCAAGGGGGGCGGCTGTGGCAGCAGCGAGCCTCTCCCCCCCTCACATCTGGATGCAGATGACTTGGCCCAGGGCTAGTGTGGCACTCACACCGTAATCCACAGGATCAAGAATTACAGAAGGGGCCGGGGAGATGGCTCAGTGGAATAAGTGCTTCCCTGGCAAGCATGAGGGCCTGAGTTCAATTCCCGGTTCAAAAAAAAAAGAATCACAGGGCCGGAGAGATGGCTCGGCGGAATAAGTGCTTCCGTGGCAAGCACAAGGGCCTGAGTTCAATCCCTGGTTCTGAAAAAAAAATAATAATAATCACAAACTCTAGAAGCCGCCCCATGACTGCGGCTTTTGGGGGACACCTCGACACAAACCATAACACCACTCTACGATGTAGTCCTTAAAAACATGAACCCAAACAACGGGCAAGAAAAAGAATGAAAAGCGATGTGAATAGAAAAGGACAAAGTCAAGGCTTCCTTAGCTGCAGGTGACGCGATCCTCTACGGAGGAGACCCAAAGGGTCCCACAAAGACTCCTGGAATTGATAACTGAATTCAGCAGGGTAGCAGGACAGAAAATCAAAATGCCGCTTCTCACACCAGTAATGAACTCACTAAGAAGGAACTTAGGAAAACGGTACCATCCAAACAGCATCCAGAAAACTCACAGGAATTATTCTAACACAGCGAAAGCCCCCACAGGGAGATCCTTGTACTCTAAAAAGAGCCCAAAGGATGCGAGAAGCGCTGAGCAGCAGGCTCCTGGGCGGCAGAACCAGCGTGGGCGGAGCAGCCGCAGGGCCACAGCTGGAGCACAGACTCCATCAGTCCCCATCAGGCCACCCGCAGCACCCCTCGCAGCTGCAGGAAACTGTCCTGAGCGCCACACGAACCAGGAGACCCCGAAGAGCAGAGGCAGCCCTGGCAACGAGCGAGGCAGGAGCCATCCGGATATCAAGTTGTCTGACGGAGCCACAGTGATCAAAACAGCAGTGGCAGTGACGCAGAAATGTGGATCGATGGAACAGAAGAGAGGACGCAGAGCCGACCCAGGCACATTCTGCTCTCTGCTCTTGGACAAGGAGACCAAAATCGTTAACTTGTGGAAAGATGGCCTCTAGTAGACGCTGCTGGGAAGACGGGCTGCCCCACACAAGACCGAATCTGCGCATACAGCTCACTGCGTACTGAACCAAAGCCAACATGGACCCCTGGCCTACCCCTGAGACTCGGAGTGTCCCAGTCCCTGGGGAGGGTGACTTTTGGATCCACTTCGGATGTGTGTTGGCTCTGGTGCCAGGTGATAGGTTATGGCCCTAGTAGGAATTGCTAAATTATAATGGTGGCCATCTAAATGGCTGAAGCTCTTAAAACAACAGCTTGTCTTCCAAGAGACCACCTCCCCCCTTCTTCCCCACCCCATCCTGGGTGCAGTTTCCCTTCCCTTTTCCCACTGCCACAAGGGAGACCACAGTCAGCTCCTAAGGCATCGCTGAACAGCCCCCTCAAAGTCCAGCTCTGGAGGAAGTGCGCACAAGCCTCAGCGTCCCGTTGTCTCAGGTCAGAGAATCTCCTGTCTTCCCTTAGGTTCTCTCCAGTCCTCAAATAAAGCCAGCCGGGCGTGGTGGCACACACCCGTATCCTCTCGGGAGGCTGCGACAGGAGGGTCCTTGCGAGTTTGAGACCAGCCTCAGCTACAAGGAGACACAAGGACAGACTGAGCTGCGTAGTGAGGCCTTGTCTCAGACAAATACAATAAAACCCCCCACTCCTTTTTCTGTTTCTGTGATGCATCACCATAGAGAAACCTGACACCAGGGGACGCCTGAGGCATGAGGTCGGAAGCCACAGACTTGGCCATGAACACCCCTGGAGACCCCCCTGTATAGAACCCCAGGACGGCAGCATCAGCCCTGGGCTGGAGCTCAGTGACCAGGAAGGGGCGTCTGACTGTCCCATGAGGCCTTGGCCCAGCCTTGCTTGAGCACCAAGCTTTCCATGTCAGGGAGCCTGTCCCCGCTCCGGGTGCTCTGCCCCAGCTGTGGTGGTGGAGTGCAGGTCCTGTGGTTACCATCGTGCCTCCAGCTCCGTGTTCTGATTTCAGCG